GATCTAAGATGGAAAGATTATCCTGGTACATCACATGAGCCATTTATAATGAGAGAGATTCCTTTGCTGGTAAAAGAAGTTAGAGAACTCAAAGCATGGAATGGTTCAATGGGCCATTCCTGGTATTGAATATAGAGGGGTCCACATGGAAAGGACTTGAGAGAAGCCTTGAGAAGATAGAGTGGCCCTTGACTGATAGCCAGCAGGGAAACAGGGACCTCAGACCTACAACTGCAAAGAACTTGATTCTGCCAGTAGCCTAAAAAAGCTTGGAAGCAGATTCTCCCCCCACAGCCTCAAGTTGAGTCCTTAATCTAGTGGTTATTTTAATCTTGATCTTGTAAGACTCTGAGCAAAGAACCACCAGTCAAGCTTGCCTGGACTTCAACAGAAAAACTAATATATACATCTAAGGAAACTTGAGTGTATGGGGAGGGGTGGGGTAGCTTATAAGTAATGTTGCCAAATATGCTAATGGTAAAATTTTACATAAAAGGACTATGAGCTAGCCAGGCCCCTGCTCTTCTCTGTTATGGACTAACTTCATGTAGTTCATGAGTCTTTTGAACAGACGTAGCCCATAATAAATTGGATACTCCCCTTGTCTATGCAATTGCTGATCTTGTTTCTTTGTCTCTCTATACAGTGAATGCCTTGGGGAAACTAAGGCTAGAGATAGAACAAAGGAGACAATAAAAACTTCAGAATACCATCAAGTGACTGACTGTCAAGTACTAGTTTTCATCTTTGTGAAACTTCAAGTGTTACCTATCACTGCTTAGCTCCTTAACCAACTCATTTGAGAGAAACCTATTCATCTTATCCTAAAGGTATTCAGATATTCCAGACCTTGTGGTTAAGCATAGCTCTGCCAGGTATTCTGACTTTAGGCACTTCTTCAACTCTTGATTTTTCAGATGGAGGAAAAGTTTTAAACTACCCGTTGGTAATTGCAGTTATTACCACTGCTTACCATGTTCCAGAAAATGCTAGGTGCTTTATTTATATGTCTCATTTAATCTTCACAATAACCCTATGAGGAAGTATAATTATCCTCGTTCACAAATGAGAAAACAGGCACAAAGAGATATGTATTTTGCTTAAGGCCATAAGGTTCAGAGTTAGGATCAAGCCTCCTTCTCTGATTCTAAAATCTCTGTCAAATCTCCATTCAACACACCTCCTAGTTTATAGACACCATATCAATGAGAAGGTGTCATTTACTTCCTAATATGCCTAACTGCTCTGAAACCTTCCAACGAACTTTTGTGAACCACCCATGTCCTGATCTTGGGACAATATACAACAGCAGAGAGACCCAGAAGTTGTGGGAGGAAGTCAGCCCAGAATGGAGTTGGGGCATTGGTTTCCAGGCAGGGGTTAGAATAGGCCTAAGAAAAAGGACCAATCTAAGGACTCATCAAAAGACAGAAATAGCTCATGGGAATCATGAGCTCACTGGAGAGTCAGACCAAAGTATGGGGAAAGAGCAGTAAATGAGGCATGGAACACCAGACCCCATCACAGGGTTAGAACGTGAGAGACAGCCTGCATAGCAGGGTTCCCCATGGCAAAACCCCTGAAACAGGGAAGGCAGAGAATTCTGTGAATTTGGGGATAAATTAAATGAAAATCTTTAAAGAAAGACCACAAAACTGTGACAAATGTGGGCAAAGCTTTGTTTTTAGTACAAACCTTTTAGGCATCAGAGAACCCGTTCTGAGAAAACCTTATGAATGTGGAAAAGCCTTTAGTGTGAGCTCAGCCCTCGTTCTGCATCAGAGAAGTCATACTGGGGAGAAACCCATCCTTGTAATTTATGTATTAAAAGTTTCCGTCGGAGCTCAGATCTTATTAAACACCAAAAAGTCCACACAAGTGAGGAAACCTTATAAATGAGATGAGTGTGGGAAAGCCTTCAGTCAGAATTCAGATCTCATTATACATCAGGGAATCCACACAGGAGAATATCCCTATCAATGCAGTCATTGTAGTAAAAGTTTTAGCCAGTGCTCAAGATTGCTTTGGTGAAACATCAGAATCCATACTGGAGAGACGCCTTATGCTTGTAACCATGTAACAAATATTTTAGTCAGAGTTCTGATGTGATAAAACATCAAAGAATCCACACTGGGGAGAAACCATATAAATGTGATGTGTGGGGAAAGCCTTCAGTCAGAGCTCAGATCTTATTCTGCATCAGAGAATCCACAATGGGGAGAAACCATATCCATGTAACAGTGTGGCAAAAGTTTCAGTCAGAATTCAGACTTTATTAAACAGTGAAGGGTCCACACTGGAGAGAAATCCTATAAATGTCATGAATATGGGAAAGCTTTTAATCAGAGCTCAGTCCTTATTTTACATCAGAGAATTCATATTGGAGAGAAACTCTATCCCTGTGATCAATGTAGCAAAACCTTCAGAAGACTTTCAGATCTTATTAATCATCACGAATTCACACTGGAGAGAGGCCTTATCCATGTAATCAGTGCAATAAAATGTTTTGTCGAAGATCAGATCTTGTTAAACATCACAGAATTCATACAGATGAGAAACCCTATGAATGTGATCAATGTGGGAAAGCCTTTAGTCGGAGCTCCAACCTCATTCTTCATCAGAGAATCCACACTGGAGAGAAACCTTATCCCTGTAGGGATTGGACTAAAAGCTTTAGTCACGGTCCAGATCTTGTTAAGCATCAAAGAATACACACTGGAGAGAAACCATATGCATGTAATCAGTGTGATAAAAGATACAGTCAAAGCTCAGACCTCACTAAACATCAGAGAGTACACGCTGGTGAAAAGCCTTACATTGTAATAGTTGTGAGAAAGCCTTCAGTAAGAGTTTTGACCTTATTCTTCATCAGAGGACTCCACACTGGAGAAAAACCTTATCCATGCGCACAGTGCAGCAAAAGGTTCAATCACAACTCATACCTCATTAAACATCAGAAAATACACACTAGGGAAAAACCATATAAATGTAATGAGTACAGGAAGGCTTTCAATCAGTGTTCAGCCCTACACCAGAGAATCCACACTGGTGAGAAACCAAATCCATGTGATGAATGTGGCAAAGCTTTAGTCGGCACTCTGATCTCATTAATCATTGAAAAATACACACTGGTGAGGTGAAAAGACATGTAAGTGTGATGCATGTGGGAAAGCCTTTAGCACATGCACAGATCTAATTGAACACCAGAAAATCCATGGTGGGGAGAAACACTAGTATGTTCAGTACAGCAGAAGTTTTAGCCAACTCTTCGAACTTACTAATCATGAGGAAGACCATTGTGGGGAATACAGTCAAAATGTGATGAATGTGAGAAAACTTTAGTGTATACGTCACCTCGATTCAGTACCAGAGATACCATACCAGAAAAAAATCTAAATGAATGCTGTTGATTATTGATGAGTATGAAAAAGGTTTTAATTAGTGTTGAACCCTTATACAACATTAAAACCACACTGGAGCCAGACATGGTGGCTCACACCTGTAATCCCAGAACTTGGGAGGAAGAGGTGGAAGCATCACTTGAGCCCAGGAGTTTGAGGCTGCAGTGAGCTATGATCACACCATGCACTCCAGCCTGAGAACAGAGACTCTATTTTTTAAAAACACTAATACCACACTGGGAGAAAACTTTAATTCAGTTTTTATAATGAAAGTTTAACTCAGAGCTCAGAATTACTAAAATTAAAAATTCTCCAGCTTGGCCAGTATGTTGAAACCCTGTCTCTACCAAAAATACAAAAATTAGCTGGGCATGGTAGCATGTGCCTGTAGTACCAGCTATTCCAGAGGCTGAGGCATAAGAATCACTTGAACCTGGGTGGTGTAGGTTGCAATGAGCCAAGATACACCACTGTACTCCAGCCTAGGCAACAGAGTGTGACTCCATCTCAAAAAAAAAAAAAGAAAAAGAAAAAAAACTCTTCAGAGTCCTGTTAGTTGTGGGAAAACCTTCAATGTAAGTAAAATTTTTACTGAATGTCAGTACACAACAATAAAAACAAACTTTTATTTTTTCTAAAAGAAAAAGAAAGACTTTCCAGGCCTGGCATGGTGGCTCACACTTGTAATCTCAGCATTTTGGGAGGCAGAGGCAGAGGGATCATGAGGTCAGGAGTTCGAGACCAGCCAGGCCAACATGGTGAAACCCTGTCTCTACTAAAAATACAAAAATTAGCTAGGCATGGTAGTGGGTGCCTATAATCGCAGATACTAGGCAGAATTGCTGAACCTGCCGAGGTGGAGGTTGCAGCGAGCCAAGATTGCTCCACTGCACTCCAGCCTGGGTGACAGAGCAAGACTGTCTCAAAATCACACACAATAAAAAAAAAAAAAAGAGAGAAAGACTTTACAGAAAAGGCCCATGGAAAGGGTGAGAAAGGGTACAAGTTGTGGAAACAGTGAAAACCAAGCTAGAAAAATCGTGAAGGTGTTGTGTGTGTGTGTGATCAGGCCCTGATTCCTGTCTAGTTAACTTTACCCCAGGCTTCTCAAGCAACACAGCACATGATGTTTCAAAAAGCCCAAGTAGAGCCTCTTTGAAAAGATGCCCCCCCCACCACTGGCAGAGGCAGTGACGTTTTCTTCAGGTACCATGGGTTGCTACATAGGGAATGGGTGGACACTGGGATGTAATTAACTATTATACTGAAGTTTATATAGTAAACCCTTTCATTTCATTAGTTTGTATGAGTAGTAGTTAATTGGATACATATATGTATTTTATTATATATACATGTATGTATATGTATGTGTGTATATATAGAAAAAAAAGGCATATATAGTGTAACATTTTATTTACAAATTGTTTTTAGGTGTGAAATAATATCTCATTGTGGTTTTAATATGCATCTCAGCTGGGCATAGTAGGTCACACCTATAATCCCAGCATTTTTGGGAGGCTGAGGCTAGAGTATTTCTTGAGCCCAGGAGTTCAAGACCAGCCTGAGCAGCATAGTGAAACCCATCTCTACAAAAATTAAAAATTAGCTGGCCACGGTGGCTGGGGTCTGTAGTTCTAGCTACTTGGTAGGCTGAGGTAGGAGGATCACTTGAGCACTGGAGGTCAAGGCTACAGTTAGTTGTATGGAGTATCCTTCTTGCTTAAAACAATATGTTTCATTTTGCCTTTTACCTTTACTGTTGTTGTTGTTTTTAAGATGCAGTCTTGCTCTGTCACCCAGGCTGGAGCGCAATGGCACAATCTTGGCTCACTGCAACCTCCACCTCCAAGGTTCAAGAGATTCTTCTGCTTCAGCCTCCCAAGTAGCCAGGACTACAGGGATGTGTCACCATGCCTGGCTAATTTTTGTATTTTAGTTGACACAGGGTTTCACCATATTGGCCAGGCTCATCTCAAACTCCTGACCTTGTGATCTGCCCCACCTCAGCCTCCCAAAGTGCTGGGATTATAGGCGTGAGCCACAGCGCCTGGCCCATGGTTGTTCTTTACACTAATTTTTGTATCTTTTAATATTAGTTTTTTCTGGAGAGTAGATAGTAGTTCAGCAGGAGGAATTGAAGCAAGAAGCTATTCTAGGGAGAAGAAATTGTACTGGTGAGGGCAGGCTGTGGTCAGGAAACAAAGTCATCATTCTGCTTGGCAGAATAAAAACAGTTTTTTCTTTGTCTTAAGAGCAGCAACTTGCATTTGTATAACATCGTGCATTTTATAAAATACTTCATGTGCTCCCACCAGTTAATTATCAACTTGAAGGACAAGTATTCCATTTGATAAATGAGGAAACAGGTCAGAAAGAATAGGCAATATATTTGTGAGTATTTTTGGCAGAGAAAAACCTTAAAAGGATATACAACAAACAGTAGTGGTGATCTCTGGGAGGTGGAATTTACTCTGTTTAATTGAATTTCTAATATTTCCATAAATGAACATGAAGTAAAAAATAATAAAGCAGAGAGAGGGAAGGAAGACAACAGGAAAAAAATGACTTCCTCAAAATCAAATGTTCACATTTTGGATTCTCAATTCTGCTCTGAGTTACACTAATGACAACAACAGAAAATACAAGAAAGATCTAACAGAAAAAAAAAAATGTTCAACTTCACGAGTAATCAAAGAAATGCAAACTAAAATAATATGTAAGGATCACGTATATTAAATTAGCAAAACTTTTTTACAAATGACAGTGTGATGAGGACTAGTAGCCATTTACTGTTGGGAACATTGTAAATTGGTACAATTGCTTTAAAAATGGTTCAACAGCAGACTGGTACAGTGGCTTACGCCTGTAATCCTAGCACTTTGGGAGGCCAAGACCTGACCTTGAGGTCAGGAGTTTGAAACCAGCTTGGCCATCATGGTGAAGCCCCCATCTCTACTAAAAATACAAAAAAAAGTTAGCTGAGCATGGTGGTGCACGCCCGTAATCCCAGCCACTTGAGAGTCTAAGGTAGGAGAATCGCTTGAACCTGGAGGAGGGAGGTTGCAGTGAACGAAGAGCATGCCACTGCGCTCCAGTCTGGGGACAGAGTGAGATTCCATCTCAGAAAAAAAAAAGATTCTGCAGCCAGTAAGGAGATTTTTTTGTTGTGGTGCCTTCCAAGGTGCTTGTTGATAACAGTGACTCACTGGAGACTCACTATATGCCAGGCACTGTGCTAAGCCCTTTATATCATGGATTGTCTCAAAGCCTTCAGTTTTTTTCTCTGTAATATGACCTACACCCAGCGGCCAAATTGACCTTCTCAAGTGCTGATCACGCCTCTCCTCTCCTTTCCTATAAAACCACCAGCTGCACCCTTTTCCCCCAAGGAGTAAGATCCAAACTCCCCAGTTTGGCAGCTAAGAACCTCCTTGGTGGACCTTTGCTCGCTTGTCAGTTTTGTCTCACTCTGCTACTTTTCCAGTGCAACGAGATCCTTACTGTGGGCATGCACTCATTAATCCATCCAGTAAGCATTTCTTGAGCACCCCCATGTGCCCAGGCACTGTTTTAAGTGCCATGGAAAGAATGGAAACAAGAGAAATGACCTCTTACCTTTTATGGGGTTTACCAAAAACAAATCAATTAATAAATGATCAGACAGGTGTAAGGACTCTGATAGAGGTTAAGGATAATGTGACGGAGGGTGACTAATTTAGATGGGAAAGTCTTCCTGAGGATGAGTTTAGGCTGAAACGTGGTTGACAAATAGGAGGCAATGCAAAGGTCTGGATGATGAACATTCTGGGCTGAGGGAACAGTTAGTACCAAGGCTCTAAAGAGCACAAACCTTGGCATGACCAAAAAGCAGAGAACTCAAGAGTGCTGAGTGAGGCAAGGGAGAGAGGGAAGGGGGCATCAGAAGAGGCTGGAGGCTGAGGGGACAAAACCACAAGGGTCTCTTAGGACTAGGTAAGGATTTGGGTCTTCATTCTAAAAGCAATGGAAAGCTGCTGAGAAGTAATGTGATTCAATTTAGGTTTTTATTTTACTTATTTATGTATTTGAGACGTAGTTTCCTCTTGTTGCACAGGCTAGAGTGCAATGGCACAACCTCGGCTCACTGCAACCTCCACCTCCTAGGTTTAAGTGATTCTCCTGCCTCAGCTTCCTGAGTAACTGGAATTACAGGTATGTGCCACCACACCCAGCTAATTTTGTATTTTTAGTAGAGACAGGGTCTCTCTGTGTTGGTCAGGCTGGTCTCAAACTCCCAACATCAGGTGATCTGCCTGCCTCAGCCTCCCAAAGTGCTAAGATTATAGGTGTGAGGCCCGGCCTGATTTAGGATTTTAAAAGATCACTCTGGTTTCTGTGAGTTTTTTTCAGAGCAAAAATAGTATCAGGAATATCAGTTTGGAGGCTGCTACAGGAATTCAGGTAAGAGAGTCTGGTTGTTTGGGACTGAAAAGTGGCAGGGAAGATGGACAGGTGTGACAAGACAGGTTCAAGAGGAATCTGGGAGGTAAAATTAATGGGGGCTTGGTGATGACCTCAATTTTGGAGTGAGAAAGAATGGATGTGTGGAGCACATTCAAGAAGCGAATCTCTAGTCATGAAGTAGAAACAAAAGAAAACTATGGAAAGGGTTACCTCCACTCTCAGCAATAGCATTGAAATATTCCCTGCTCATGGCTGGGGGAGGATGGGCAGGAAAACAGGGAGGAGAGAGGGGACTGGTGGGGCCACAAAGCAAATCACACATTACGCTTCCAGAGTTCACATTTTACCATAGCTGAACAAACATGAAAATCGAAGTGACAGGTGGCCAGGCATGGTGGCTCTTGCCTGTAATCCCAGCACTTTGGGAGGCTGAGGCAGGTGGATCACCTGAGGTCAGGAGTTCAAGACCCACCTGGTCAACACGATAAAACCCATCTCTACTACAAAATTAGCCAGGCATGGTGTTATGTGCTTGTAATACCAGCTACTAGGGAGGCTAAGGCAGGAGAATCGCTTGAACCTGGGAGGCAGAGGTTTGCAGTGAACTAAGATCATGTCATTGCACTCCAGTCTGGGCAACAGAGCAAGACTTTGTCTCAAAAAAAAAAAAAAAGGAGAATGAGCTCACATCTTATGACAGTGAACATGAATAACAAAGTGATAGGTAGCTGGGAGCAGTGGGCTCATGCCTGTAATCCCAGCACTTTGGGAGGCTGAGGTGAGTGGATTACCTGAGGTCAGGAGTTTGAGACAGGGCATGATCTCGACTCACTGTGCCTCCACCTCCTGGGTTCAAGACATTCTCCTGCCTCAGCCACCCGAGTAGCTGGGATTACAGGGCACATGCCACCACACCTGGGTAATTTTGTATTTTTAGTAGAGACAGGATTTCACCATATTGGCCAGGATGGTCTTGAATGAACTCCTGACTTCGGGTGATTCAACTGCCTTAGGCTCCCAGGCTGTTGAGATACAGGCAAAAGCCACTGTGCCTGGCCTGAATCTGCATTTCTAACAAGTTCCTAGATGATGCTGATGCTACCGTTCTGGCCTCTCAGTTTGAGAACCAACGCACTGGATTAACTAAAAAAAAAAATTCTGGTCCATTATCCAATGATGCTTTCAGAAATGGAGATAGGGTTATCAGCTGAGTGCTATCCTCCATGAGCCACAACACTCAGATGCGTTCCATATAATGGAAGAGAATGAAAGAAATAAACTTCAACCACCACTTTGCTCTCTAAACAGTGATAGCCACCCCAGTCCCTCCTTAACCCCTTGCACCTGCACTTACTCAGCCACTCCCATTCCCCCAGGATCAAGGATGCCAGCACAGGATCTTGTAAAGCTCCCTAGAACTTAGACAACACACTCCACCATTTCCAAATTCAGACTGGTTTAATGGATATTATATGGGTCCTCCGGTCTGTAGTGGCTCACAGGCACTGTCAAAATCCCAGAGCTGATCTGTTGTTGCAGAGGACTGCAGGCTGGAAATCTAGTGACTGCAGCCAAGTCTGGTTCTTCTGTCAACTACGTGGCCCATGATGAGTCATGTCATTTAGCATTTTTAAACCTTAATTTTTCAACAGTTAAAAAAAAAAGTTTCTCACTATGATAGAAATGGAATACCTGAAGAAATATTAGCCAAAATTTTTTTTAGAAAAAAAGACATCTAGTGACGACTTGCAGCCAAGTCTGGTTCTTCTGTCAACTACGTGGCCCATGATGAGTCATGTCATTTAGCATTTTTAAACCTTAATTTTTCAACAGTTAAAAAAAAAAGTTTCTCACTATGATAGAAATGGAATACCTGAAGAAATATTAGCCAAAATTTTTTTTAGAAAAAAAGACATTAGCAACAGAACTGTAACATTAAACTTTAGAGACATTATATTCATAGTTTACCAACAAAGTGCTTGTGTGTGTGTGTGTGTGTGTGTGTGTGTGTGTAGTTTTAGATCCTCACAACAACCTTGTGAGGTAGGTAAGGTAGTGACTTGAGGCTGAAAGAAGGTAAGTCTGGCCAAATGAAGTCTCAGGGCCAGAACTCAAATGCTTTACCTTCTCAATGAAGTCAGTGTTCTTTCCAACACACTGCCTTCCCTCAATTTATTACAATTAAGTGTAGGAATATACTAGTATATAAACTGGATGGCCCTAAAGGATCAGAGAATTATATTATCCTAAACTAAATGGCCAATGACCCAGAAAATTAGGAAACAAGAATTGTTGGCTGGAGATGGTGGCTCACAGCTATAATCCCAGTACTTTGGGAGGCCGAGGTGAGCAGATTGAGGCCAGGAGATCGAGACCATCCTGCCAACATGGCAAAACCCTGTCTCTACTAAAAATACAAAAATTAGCTAGGTGTGGTGGTGTGTGCCTGTAATCACAGATACTCAGGAAGCTGAAGCAGGAGATTCACTTGAACCAGGGAGTCAGAAGTTGCAGTGAACCAAGATCACGCCACTGCACTCCAGCCTGGCAAGAGAGCGAGAGTCCATGTAAAAACAAAAACAAACAAAAAAGGAAAACAAGAGGTGCTTTCTTCAGCTAAATGCCAGGGAGGATCCCTGTAATATAATTTGACACTCAGCAATTTTGCTTCCACAATTCTATAGTCGTCTACCAGGTTCCTCTGGATTGTTCATTGTAGGGTATTTTCTGTCAGATGACAGCAAACCTCCTGTGTGAAAATACTTCATACACTGCTGCTCAAAGAGCCTCTGTAATTCTTTCAGCCTCCTAGTCCACAAGACTGCAGATATCCTCTACGATAGTTCTGCCTTGTCATGGCAGTGAGACATCTGGTGACTAATGCCTGCACAGCCTGAACTGAAAGTGCATTAACATTTTATTCGTGTTTTCCAACCCTAAACCTTCTAGTGCCAATCTAATTTCTCTAAGTTCTGAGCTTGGGGTGTGGGAACTATACTAATAAATTCCTAATTCAGTAATAAGACTGATAAAAGTCTCCAGTCTTGTATTGAGTGTCTTTTAAGGGCCAGGTACTGCATTAAAGGCTTTATCTAAGACCTCAAATATTAATCATGAATAATGATATGACTATTTATTTACTGAGCATCTACATTGTTCCAGGCACTGTACTAGGTGGTTTACATGTGATCTCCAGGCCACATTGCTCTCACTTCTCATTTAGTAAGTAGGCATCAACTTCTTTTGTTGTTGTTGAGTGAGATGGAGTCTTGCTCTGTTGCCCAGGCTGGAGTGCAATGGTGCAGTCCTGGGCTCACTGCAACCTACACCTCCCGGGTTCAAGTGATTCTCCTGCTTCAGCCTCCCGAGTAGCTGGGACTACAGGCATGGGCCACCACATCTGGCTAATTTTTGTATTTTTAGTAGAGATGGGGTTTTGCCATGTTGACCAGGCTGATCTCGAACTCCTGACCTCAAGTGATCTACCTGCCTCAACCTCCCAAAAGTGCTATGATTACAGGCATGAGCCACCATGCCTGGCTGGCATCAACTATTAAACTCACATTTCACTAAAAGTCAGGAATGCCTGTTGTATTTAAACTGTTATTTGGACTCTAAGTTTATCCTCTCTGTTATAACATAGAAAATAAAGAGGGAGAAGAGATCAGGGGCCAAAGTGAGCAACTGGTGACCAGGTTTTCTCTAGGTGAGGTGCTCAAAGACAGAAGCAATGAAAATTTGCAAGGGAGCAGCAGAACCACTCACTGAAGACTATTTCCTAAATCAAGTGGGTGTTTTGATGGCATAAAAGATGCGCTTTCTGATGGAAGCTCTTGTCATATTTACTACAGTGGAAAGGTTTTTCCCCTGTGTGAGTTCTCTGGTGTGTGAGGATATGGGAACGCTGATTGAAGGTCTTGCCACACTCAGGACATAGATAAAGCCTGTTTCCTAAGTGAATTCGCTGATGGGTGATAAAGTGGGAGCTCTGATCGAAGCTTTTCCCACACTCTCCACATTTGTAGGGTCTTTCTCCTGTGTGGATTTGTTGATGCTTAATGAGGGCGGAGCTGTCAGCAAATGCTTTTCCAGTTTTCACACTCACCTGAGTGTGTTCTCTGATGCATGACCAAATTTGACCTCTGACTGAAGCTTTTGTAGCAGTCGGGACAACTGAAAGACCTTCTCCTGAATGAGTACTCAGGTGAGCTACAAAATGAGAACTCTCTCTGAAGCCCTTCCTGCTCTCTGGGCATTGGAAGGGCCATTCTGCCATTCTCCCATGAGGGTTCGTTGGTGCTTAATCAAATCCCAGCTCCGGCTAAACTCTCCCCATAGTCATTACAGCTGTAAGGCTTCACGCCTGTGTGGGTCCTCTGGTGGGTGATGAAATTTGAGCTTCGACTGAAGCTTTTGTGACATTCCAGGCATATGCAGGACTTCTCGCCTGTGTGGGTTTGTTGGTGCATTATGAGATGTGGCCCCTGCCCAAGTCTTCCCACACTGCGCACTCATAGGGTCTCTCTCCTGTGTGGGTTCTTTGATGTTTAATGACTGTTGAGCTGTCGCTGAACTTTTTCTCACACCCTTGCTTTGGTAAGACTTCTCTCCTGTATGTGTTATGCAATGGGTGACAAGGTCTGAGCTCTGTTTGAAGCTTTTCCCACACTCTATGCATGTATAAGGCCTCTCACCAGTATGGGTTCTTAGGTGTCTTATGAGATAGGAACTCTGGTTAAAGCTTTTCCCGCATTCTTCACACATGGGCTGCTGACCTACTACATATCCATCCAGGAACTTGTTTAAATCCCTCTCCTGTGAAAAGGGCTCAAGCTGGCCCTCTGCTGGAAGGCTTCCATGTTGCTCTTCTAATTCTAGGCCTCTCTCCCAGTTTCCTCCCCAACCAAGGCTATGAGAGATCCTTATTGGTCCTTTCTGAGGATGTTCCATATTGTTCTGCTGTTTCAGAAATGTCCTGATTGAGCTTTGCCACCTGATGCTCAAAGTCTGAAAAATTAATGTAAATAACAGAGAATGAAGTTATCAGTTATCAGGAAGGAATATCAGAAAGCAGTGAGAAAGACTAAAATTGCTGTTTGTGCAGCAGACTGCACTTAATTCAACCGGTCTGCTTTGCTTTGTGAAAAGTTTGTTGAAGTTCATTGAGCTTTCAGAACATGTGAATTCCTAAACTTTTTAAATTTTAAGATGGCCAGATGAATCTTGATATCCTTCAAGAGGAGACCATATATTGTCAATATTGGGCACTTTCTTTTTTTTTTTTCCATGAGGCATTTTATTTGTAAATATATGTATCACATCCCTAGAAAAAAAAGTCTTGCTTCTTCATGGTCCATGATGCCAGCTGAGGTTGTCAATACAATGAAACCAAACTGGTGGGACGGAAGCAGATTACTCTGTCATTTTTCTAGATCTTTGAGTTGCATATCAAATCTGGGGCTGATCATACCATACTTGTTTAGCCTGCCTGTGAGGTTCACAATTTTCCCAGCTCTGTGATCGTCAATGATTTCAAATTTGCCAATGTAACCATGCTTCATTATCATAGTGAGAAACCGGACGATGACTCTGCAGCATGGCCTAATAAGCACCTGGCATTTGCCTCTCTTTTCGGCATTGTTGATGCTCTTGAGAGCATCAGCCAGGACATTCATATGCACCATTGTGGCGGCACAGAAAGATGGTGGAAAGAGCTGGGCACTTTCTTTTGAAGATATTTTAGGTTTAGGCCGGGTGTGGTGGCTCACACCTGTATAATTAATTCCAGCACTTTGAAGGCTGAGGCTGGTGGATCATTTAAGGTCAGGAGTTTGAGACTGGCCTGGCCAACATGGTGAAACCCCATCTCTACTAAAAATACAAAAATTAGCTGGGCATGGTGGCGGATGCCTATAGTCGCAGCTACTCCGGAGGGGGAGGCAAGAGAATCACTTGAACCCAAAAGGTGGAGGTTGCAGTGAGCCAAGATCGTGTCACTGCACTCCAGCCTGGGAGGCAGAGGGAGACTGTGTCTCAAATAAATAAATAAATAAGTTATAGGTTAGACAAAAGTGAAATGCTTAATCAAAATGAAGACTTTATTTAGTCAACCACTGACCACTGAGTCCAATTTAAATGTCTGCTATTAAGAAGAAAAGTCTAGGGCAGCATTCCAAATTCTTCATCTCAGCAAGGCTGAAATGCTAGCTTTCCTTCCACTGGGAGCACTTGTATCTCACCTGTCTGGCTTTCCCTCAGGATTTTCCTCGCCTCAGTTTTGGAGTGGTAGAACCCATGCCTCTTCTTTCTGCTCCAGCTGGGAGACTACAGTAGGTCTAGAAATTCTACACAAGAATGTAAGCACAGGATGTGAGTCTGAGCCAGTCACACGGGGCCTATTCCCTGCCTAGGTAGGGGAGAACACCCCGGGAACTCTAATGTGTATTTGGTCTCATTAAAAGTGCAGCCATGGTAAAGTGATAAAACAGGGTGATTTCCCCAAAAGCTGAAAAGAAAAAGCCCCTTTCCTTTTATTTAAAAAAAAAAAAAAAAAAAAAAGACTCAGGTGACAGAAACTCTGAAGTAAACACAATAACTATTTCTGAATGTATAAGTCTAAAGCTAAATATAGAGAGGATTTTTATCAGAAACAGAGCTGCCATGACCTCACCCTTAGAAAGAATGAAGGAAGTGAACTATAATGTTGGGCTTTAAAATTTTCCCAGAATGATAGCAGTCAAAAAAGCCATGAGAAAAAGACAAACACTTGTTAAGTAGCCTGTAAATATATGAAAAATGTTTAAGCTCTCTATAATAAAAGAAAGTCAAGTTAGAACAATGATCCACTGAGGCAATATAGTGTAGAGGTAACGAGTGCAAACTCAAGAGTCACACTGCTTGGGTTTGAGTCATAATCTTGCCTCTTACAAGCTATGTGGCCTCAAGAAAGTTACTTAAACTCAGTGTTTCAATGTCTTCATCAATAAGATAGGGATAAGAATAAGATCCATTGGCCAGGTGCAGTAGCTCACTGCTGTAATCCCAGCAGTTTGGGAGGCCAAGGCAGGTGGATCACTTGAGGCCAGGAGATCAAGAACAGCCTGGCCAACATGGAGAAACGCTGTCTTTACTAAAAAAGCAAAAATTAGCCAGGTGTGGTGGTGCACACCTGTAATCCCAGCTACTCTGGAGGCTGAGGCAGGAGAATTGCTTGAAACTGAGAGGTGGAGGTTGCAGTGAGCCAAGATTGTGCCGCTGCACTCCAGTCTGGGTGACAGAGTGAGACTCCGTCCGTCTCCGAAAACAAAAACAAAAACAAACAACAAAAAGACTTCAATAAATGTTAACTATCATTGCCATTTGCCATTTTTCCCCAGGCTCTTTTTTTTGTGTTTTGTGTGTGTATTTGTTTGTTTGTGAGATGGGCTCTTGCTCTGAGACCATGTGGTACAATCACAGTTCACTGCACCCTCAAGCTCTAGGCTCAAGCAGTTCTCTCACTTCAGCCTCCCAAGTAGCTGGGACCACAGGCACAAGCCCCTACACCTGGCTAATGTAATTTTTTGTAGAGACAGGGTCTCTTTAATGTTGTCCAGGCTGGTCTTGGAATTCCAGAGCTCAACTGATCCTCCTGCTTCAGCCTCCCAAAGTGCTGGGATTACAGGCGTGAGCCACCACAGCCAGCCCCAGACTTAAATTATAATACCCACTGTGGAAGATACTTTCATACAATGCTAATGGGAATAAATCAATTGATTCAATCTTCTTGGAAGGTATTTTGCAAAGTATTAATAAATACCTTAGAAATGTATCTATACTTTGACCCAGCAATTCTAATTCTGAGAATTCTAAGGAAATGATAAAATTATATTTCAATTAAAAATACTTTTAAGGTCGGGCGCGGTGGCTCACGCCTGTAATCCCAGCACTCTGGGAGGCCGAGGCTGGATCACGAGGTCAAGAGATCGAGACCATCCTGGTCAACATGGTGAAACCCCGTCTCTACTAAAAATACAAAAAATTAGCTGAGCATGGTGGCGCGTGCCTGTAATCCTAGCTACTCAGGAGGCTGAGGCAGGAGAATTGCCTGAACCCAGGAGGCAGAGGTTGCGGGGAGCCGAGATCGCTCCATTGCACTCCAGCCTGGGTAACAAGAGCGAAACTCCGTCTCAAAAAAAAAAGAAAAATACTTTAAAAAAAATAAGCTAAAATATGTTTATCACAACCATGGTGAAAATTTAGAAATGACCTAAATATCTCACAACAAAGCAATAATTATATAACTCACTGCATCAAATTCCTGGGCCCAAGGGATCCTTCTGCCTCAGCCTCCCAAGTAGCTGGGACTATAGACAATTGCTGTTTAGGTAAAAAATGGTCAGATATATAGTTCAATCTAATGTTTGACTTCATCAACAAAATGGTATTGTATTCCATAAAACAAAATACTAGGTGGTTATTTTAAGTGATATAAAGCATTTATTATTTTCAAAATATACTCACAATACAACATGGAAGAAAGTAGAATGTACAGCTGACTCTACAGTATAATCCCAATATTATTCTTATATGCTTGTTTTAAAATTGTATACATGCTTAGAAAAATGCTGGTAGGTAACAGGAGCATAACGCTGCCTCAAAAAGAAAGAAAAATGCTGGTAGGATAGTAACTCTTCAATGGTAGGATTAGGGATGGCGTTTGTTTTCATTTTGCTTGTCTTTTTCTTTAATGAGTATACATTACTTGTAAAATAGATGAAGTAGGCCAGGCACAGTGGCTCACGCCTCTAATCCTAGCATAGCACTTGGGGAGGCCAAGGCCAGCAGATCACCTGAAGTCAAGAGTTTGAGACCACCCTGGCCAACATGGTGAAACCTCGACTCTACTAATTACACAAAAAATGAGCACCAGGCACAGTCGCTCATGCCTGTAATCCCAATACTTTGGGAGGCCAAGGTGGGTGGATCACTTGAGGTCAGGAGTTCAAGACTAGCCTGGCCAACATGGCAAAACCCCATCTCTACTAAAAATACAAAAAATTATCCAGGAATTGCTTGAACCCAGGAGCTGGAGGTTGCAGTGAGCTCAGATCATGCCATGACATTCCAGCCTGGCAACAGAGCAAGACTTACACACACACACACACACACACACACACACACACAAAAGAAGTAAAGCAGGAGGAAGGGTAGTCATGGTATTTGAGAAAGAGCGTTGGAGGTGTTTGTTTATTTTTAAGTGACAGAAAAAAATTACCTCCTTTTCCACAAAGACCTCAGAAGTTAAGTGGCGGAGGTGAGAGTCCAACCCAGGCTGGAAAAGGAGGATAGTAATACACATATCAAAAAGTTTAGATGAGATATTAAAGACAATAAATAGCTAAGACATCTGGAAACCATGAAATGCATAAAGAAGTCATTCTTTTTCTGCCAAGGAGGCAATAATTAATCTTAGAGGTCTGGAGCTCTAAGACACCAACATACGAGACCACTCAGACCTGGACCCTCTCAAAATATCTATGTCTCGAATTAAAGGAGAGTAGTGGCCAGGCATGGTGGCACCAGTAATCCCACCAGTTTTGGAAGGCTGAGGCCAGTTGATTACTTGAGCTTAGGAGTTTGAGACCAGCCTGGCTAACACAGCAAAGTTAAAGTTCGGTCTCTACTAAAAATACAAAACATTAGGTGGGCATGACGGCGCATGCCTGTGATCCCAGCTACTCAGGAGTTGAGGTGGGAGAAGCTCTTGAGCCCGGGAGGCATAGGTTGCAGTGAATTGAGATTTCGCCACTGCCTGGATGACACAGAGCCAGACCCCCATCTCAAAAAACAAAATAAATACATAAAATAAAGGAGAGTAGCATTCTTACTCTTTGAGGGCCCATTCTTCTAACTGTGCTGGGTGGCATCCCTGAAGAGGATTCTCTAAGCAGTGTCCAGGTAACCCACTCTTCCCAGAAGTCCCCAGCCACATCATTGAGGGTCATCAGTTCCTAAAGCAAGAGAGCTCAATATGCATCAGTAGCTCCCTATTCTTACCATCATCTGAAAGCCAAAAATGGCCACTGGTGTACATAACCCCCCACCCCTGACCAGAATCATCCTGAGGTAAATTCTGTCAACCACAGAGGGTTGCTTTTCTGCCTGTTTTTACATACGTCTTCTCCTGGTCGACTTTCCCATTACTAAGAAATACCTAGGCCTCCTAAACACATAGACAGAACCTAGTCTTTTAGATACATTAACTTTTTGAGGAACAAATTGTCCACAATGAACAAGGTAAACAAAGGAGAGAATTGGCAGGTATAATTTGATTTCTGGAAAGCTTTTGATTCTTTCCAGCTACATTTTCCTCAGCAAGCTAGGAAGTCATGGACTTAACTATACTCATATTAGTTATGAGAATAGCTGACTTCTTGGCTTGCAGATTTGGGGACAACCTCAAGGGACAGATTATGCAGAACTCCAAAGGAAACTGTGTTGGATGCCATTCTATTTTAAGATTTTAATGGAGTCAGAAATAAGATTGAAAAAGACACAGAATTTAAAAAAAATTAACATGGATAGTTGTAAAAATAAGTGAAAGTCAATGGGGATAAGCACAAAACACAACTCTTAGGAGCTGAAACCAACCATTCATATATTAATAAGCTGACACTATCACAAAAAAATTACCTTTTGGAGGATTGTCAGAGTCGATTACTGGATGGATCAGTCATTTATTCAGCAATCAAGATGTTGCTAGGCATAGGAGTCACAAAGAAATTAAGATAATGTTTTTTTCTTTTAAAAAGTTTCTAATATAATACCAGCCTCAGGAACATAATGAGACCCTTTTCTCTACAAAGAACTTTTAAAAATCAGCCAGGTGTGGTGGCACGCAATTGTGGTCCCAGCTACTCAGGAGGCTGAGGTGGGAGGATCACTTGAGCCCAGGAGTTCAAGCAAGGCTGCAGTGAGCCTAGTAACAGAGTGAACCCTTGTCTCTCCATAAAACAAAACAAAACAAAACAAGTAACAGCCAGCATGACCACCTGCTACAAAGAATACTGCATTTCAGAGGAGGAAGGACCATAATGGGGTGAAGAAGTTTTACTCTTTCACATCTTTTGTCCCACCACAAACAAAGCACCTATTTACCACAAACAAAGCAACACACACACACACACACACACACACACACACGGGGAAATATTTATGTATTTACAGACATTATTGGTCAGGTCATTTATAAACTATTGAGTTTTTAAGGATCTAAAAACCATCTCTCTGGTTTAAAACTTTAACAACAATAATGTAATTCAAAAGTAGTAGAAATTGTAATAAGAGTTTTGAGTAATGGCCGGGCGCAATGGCTCACGCCTGTAATCCCAGCAATTTGGGAGGCCGAGGCAGGCGTATCATGAGGTCAAGAGTTCGAGATCAACCGAAATCCAGTCTCTACTGAAAAACACAAAAATTAGCCAGGTGTGGTGGCACGTGCCTGTAATCCCAGCTACTCAGGAGGCTGAGAGCAGGAGAATCGCTTGAACCTGGAGGCAGAGGTTGTAGAGAGCCGAGATCCGGCCACTGCACTCCAGCCTGGGCGACAGAGCGAGACTCCATCTCAAAAACAAAACAGTTTTGAGTATAGTGTTTCTTTTTCTTTTTTTTTTTTTTTTTTTGAGACGGAGTTTTGCTTTTGTTACCCAGGCTGGAGTGCAATGGCGCGATCTCGGCTCACCGCAACCTCCGCCTCCTGGGTTCAGGCAATTCTCCTGCCTCAGCCTCCTGAATAGCTGGGATTACAGGCACGTGCCACCATGCCCAGCTAACTAATTTTTGTATTTTTAGTAAAGACGGGGTTTCACCATGTTGACCAGGATGGTCTCGATCTCTTGACCTCGTGATCCACCTGCCTCTGCCTCCCAAAGTGCTGGGATTACAGACGTGAGCCACCGCGCCCAGCCTAGTGTTTATTTCTATATTCATGACCAAACACTGCCGCAAGGTCACTTGCGGGAGCAGCGCCACAGAGGAGGGAAGACTTCTGAGCCACGGTCATAGCAGCCCTATTTCCCTGCCCGCCCCCTTCCCCATGCACAGGTGACCCCAAAGGCCCCCAGAGCTGAGAGGCTGTGACTAAGCGCCATTGTGAGAAGCTGCAGCGCGTTCACCGGGTTTATTAATAGGAACGTGACTGCACGCCCAGGGCCGACCCCCTTTTTCTCGGCGCTGAGGCCCGAACCCGGGTGCTGTGGTTAAGAGGGTCACAAAGGTCAGCTGAAACCCGGGACCACCGTCGAGAAGCCAGAAAGCCGATGGAGAGTGACACCCAACGACGAGAAAGAGACCGGGGCTACCTCTCCCGCACCCCAGCAAGACCGGGGGCTCCCAAAGGCAAGGGAGGGAACCCAGCTGAGAAAACGTCGGGGTGGCGGGCAAGCCCCCCTCCACGCCCCTCAGCAGCACGCCGCGGCGGCCGCCGTCTCCCTCCCGGGATCACTCACCGCCCCAGGGCCCAGCCGGGGATGGAGCAGGAAGTGAGGAGGCCTCCACCGCCGAGCCACACTCGGCCCGCCACCCCGAGGCGGTCCCTCCCAGAACCCGACCGACTTTCGCGACAGGGCTGTGGGGACTCCAGCTTCCACAGCCAGCAGCCGGAACTTACCGCCCCTGTCCTCTTGCTATTGGCTGCTCAGTTTCCATGACTAGAATTCTTCTCTGTCCATTAGCTGACAGAGCTGTCAATTACCGCCGAGCCTTCTGGGAAACATAGTCCTGAGCAAGACCTCAAAGGACTCACAGCCGTGGATGCACAGTTCGAAGCGTTGACAAAAGTACTAAACCCAATTCTTGAGTTACCGGCCCCGGGAACCATCTGTTTGTTGCGGAGGGATCTAAATGTTGTTCCTCCAGTGTGGGATTTGCTGATGTGAATCTTCTGGCCTCCCACACCCACCTCTGAGCACCCTTGTGCCCACAGCGAGGTCTCCTGCCCTCTGGCACGTAGCCCCTCCCCAGCGTGGAGCAGCTCAACCCTCTGGCCTTTGCGGCCTCTCTTCTGCCCAGCCTTCCACCCCATCTCAGCGACCGGAGCCTGCCGGGTGTGTGCGCGACGAGGTCCCAGGCCAACTCTAACTGGACATAAAAAGGGCCCAGCAGAAGCCCTGAGTAGAAAACAGACGTTACGCATCCTTCCCTTGGCATCAAACTCCCAGGACGTCCCCTTCTGTCTGGTTGGTAGCCAGAGGAGGCGGGCGAGGACGCCAAGCATTCTGGGAAATGTGCTATTGGGCTGTAAACTGGGTCTCCTGTGAGAGCCAGAGGTCAAAAAATAGTAAAGCCTTTCCTTAAAGTGAAGAAAATGAGCCTGTCTACTCTGTTGATTCAGTGCAATTTAGAAAAAGAAAAGAACATTTTGTGATGGACTATAAAACGCTTAGAATTACCAGCCATAAAGCTAATGTCGAAGATCCCTTTGATGTGAATTCCACCATTCCTTCAACACACCTAGGGTGCATTTTCCAATGGATATTTATTGGGAACGTTCTATACTTAACATTATTCTGGGAACTGTGGTTACTTGGGAATCATATATAAAACCACTGCCTTCGTGAAGCTCACAGCCCAAAAGGGGAGATAAACCACAAAAAGTATCAAAATCCCAAGTAATATTTTATCTTTTCTTCTTTTAGAAGAGCTGGGAGCACAAAAACCAAATGTTTGTTTGTTCCTTTTTTTTAAAGACAGGGTTTCACCATATTGGTCAGGCTGGTCTCGAACTCCTGACCTCAGGTGATCCACCCGCCTCAGTCTGGGATTACAGGTGTGAGCCATCGCGCCTGGCCAAATGTTTGGTTTTTTAAACCAATACATTTTGGGGTAATTTGTTCCAGAATAGTCCTGTTTCAGTATAGCCAGTGGGATCTTAGTTATTTGGCTATAACTATAGTCATCTGCAAGATAACCACACAACATTTCGGGAAACTCTGTCCACTATGAACAAATGTCTGGTTAGCAGAGGTAGTTAGATGTAGTTAGATTTAGATGAAAATGAGGAAAGTGGAAATCTAAGAGGAGCTCAGGAACAAGGAATATTCAGGAAACCTTGGGATTCCCAGACCTCCTGTGACTGGAACAGAGTTCGGGACCTGGAGAACTGAAGGCATCTTCAGGCCCCTTGTTAAGGCTTTCTGGCATTTTGCCATCAGGGAGATCATGAAGATGACTCCTCAATCTGGGATTGGGGGTTGGGGATGGTGGGTTATTGAGAAGGTGATGGTGGTGGTGATGAATGGAGTCACCACCAGAATCTCGCTGGTGGCTATTCCCTGTCGCTCTCTCCAGCTTCTGTTCCTTCTGCCTTACCTTGTTCTCTCGGCAGTTTCTTCACCATGATCAGGTGTGTGGGGAGCGGGGAAGGAAGCCTGGTCTCATGACAAGAATGGTCAGTGCAGGAAACCAACCATGCGCCTCCAATGGCCATGTGAAGAGGGGACCATACCCTGTTGGGGGTTGGGTGCTGAAGGGCATGGCCAAGAGGAGGCCTCAAGGAGCGAGGAGAAACTGTGGAAAGACTTCAAGGAGCACAAAAAGAGAGGAAAACTTCAGCAGGTGCTAGAACTGAAATTTTTAAGAGTCTATCATTATCTATTGCTGTGTAATAAATTACCCCAAAATTTATTGGTTTAAAAAACCAAACATTTGTTTTTGTGCTCCCAGGTCTTCGGGAAAGCAGCTGGTATTTCTTTACCTGGCTCTTCTCTATCTCCAGGCAGCTGTACCAGAGGTCCCCCCTTCATACACACGCACTGTTGCCCCGGTAGCTGACCTTTCTGCAGCTATTCTGAGGACACCTGGATGCCAGCAGAGGGAGTAAGATGTGGTCAGCAGCTAAGGAGGCAGGCTGCACGTAGAAATCTCGGAAGCCCGGCGGTGCATCATGAAGTTGCAGTGCAAGGAGCACCATCCCTTTGAGTATCCGAATAAGGAAGGAGAAAACATTGGGAAGAAATATCCGGACAGGGTCCCCGAGATTGTAGAGAAGGCTCCAAAGGCCAGGGTGCCTGATCTGGACAAGAGGAAGTACCTAGTGCCCTCTGGCCTTACCGTGGCCAATTCTACTTCTTTTTTCGTTCTTTTTTTGAGACGGTGTCTCGCTCTGTCACCAGGCTGGAGTGCAATAGTTTGATATTGGCTCGCCGCAACCTCCGCCTCCTGGGTTTAAGCAATTCTCCTATCTCAGTCTCCTGAGTACCTGGGACTACAGCCCCACCAAGCCCAGCTAATTTTTTGTATTTTTAGTAGAGACAGGGTTTCCCCATGTTGGTCAGACTGGTCTCGAACTCCCAACCTCAGGTGATCCACCCGACAGCCTCCTAAAGTGCTGGGATTACAGGTGTGAACCACCACACCTGGCCGATTCTACTTCTTAATCCAGAAGAGAACCACCTGTGACCTGAGGACGCCTTACTCTTCTTTGTCAACAACACAATCCCTCCCGCTAGTGCTCCCATGGACCAATTGTATGGGGGACAATCATGAGGAAGACTTTTCTGTATGTGGCCTACAGTGATGAGAGTGTCTATGAAAAATGCGTGCATGGGAGGCCTGGACTTGCAGGAAGGGGAGGAGTGTGTGGGACTAGGGGAAAGAGAGGGCGGCTCCCACTGTGAGGAGACAGAGTGAAGATATCTAGAAGCATTACACTGCACACACCATCATCACATTTTCACATGCTCAATTGATATTTTTGTGCTGCTTCCTGGAGAAGGCATGTCAGGACAGAGCTGTTGGACTGGCTTTGATACAGGAATGGGGATGATGTCATTTTACAGCATTCCTGCGATATGTTTTGTGCAATTTCATAGAAGGGACAGGAGGTGGACAAGCTGGGGCCAGAAATGATGGCAGTCCAGCAGCAATTCCCTGTACTCACTTCTCTTTGGGCAGAGATTCTATTTTTGACACTTGCACAAGACAGGTAGTAAAAGGGGACTTGTGGTAGTGGACCATATCTGGGGACCAAAAGAGACACAGCATCATGGCCCTCGATCTTCCCTGCCTCATGTTTCTTTTCTCCCAACCCAACCACAATCTCAAAAACATCATAGTACCTCCCCAGGGTGGCAGTAGACACCAACCCAGAAATTTAGACAGGGATCTCCTACCTTCGGAATATAGGGGTAGGCATGAAGGTGGTTATGATTAAGAAGATAGTTTTGTTATTACATAGTGTTAAACTGGAATGGTCAGTGTTGATCTCTGTCTAACCTGTTCTTTCTCTCTGGCGCCCCTTATCTCACCCCTACCTTGGAATTTAATAAACCTCAGGCATTTCCAATTGTAGACTAAAACCACTCCTAACAGCTCCTGTAGTATTTTCCATGTATCAGGACAGAGATGTCTTCTGTAGGGAAGGGGCAGGTATGAAGTAAGGAAGATTATCTACACCTCTCACTCATTCAGGATTCTCGCTCCCATGCTGCTGCTCCTTTGGTCTCACACATGCAGGAATGCTACGTGATGGCCAGCTGCTTCCTTTCTTGGTTATCACCACTGCAGCAGCTAGTTAGAAAGGTTTGCAGGGATGACTTTTAGTAAATCATGGGGATTTTATTGATTTATTTTCACTTTTGGGATTTTGTGAGGTAGGAGTGGGGAGCAGGAATTGCACTCAGACATGACATTTCATCTCTGCTAATGAAAGATTTCCCCTCTTGGGGGAAATCTGTGTCAGTTCTGTCAGCTGGAAGTTCGGAAGTTCTTGTATAATAAAGTCAATGCCATCAGGCCAAGGAAATAAAATAATTGCTTATCTTAAAAAAACAAAATTGCCAGGTGTGGTGGCTGGCTTATGCCTGTGACCCAAGTACTTTGGGAAGCTGAGGCAGGAGGATGGATTGCTTGAGGTCAGGAGTTCAAGACCAGCGTGGGCAACATGGCAAGGCCTTGTCTCTACTAAAAATAAAAATAACCAGCCGGGCTTGGTGGTGTGTACCTGTGGTCTCAGCTACCTGGGAGGCTAAGGAAAGAGGATCACTTGAGCCTGGGGAGTTTGAGGCTGCATTGAGCTGGGATAGCACCACTGCACTCTAGCCTGGGAGACAGCAAAACTCTGTCTCAGAAAAACGTATTTTATCATTTCTGTTGGTGAGGAATCTGGAACAGCCTAGGTGAGCATCTCTAATTGAAGGGCTCTCACAAGGTTGCAGTCTACAAACTGGCTGGGACTACAGTTATCTGAAGGCTTGACTGGGGCTGGACCAATCCTAAGCTCCCTTATGCGACTGTTTCCTCATGTGCAGCCTCTCCTCACATGGCAGTGGCTCCCCAGGGTGAGTGACAAAGAAGCAGAAGCTGCAGTCTAACCTGGGAAGTGATGAACCATGATATGCTCTTGATTATACACACCAACCCTGGTATGGTGTGGGAGGGCACTACACAAAGGTATGAATAGTTGGAGGCAAGGATCACAGTGGGTGTATTAGACAGGGTTCTCCAGAAAGACAGAAACAATAGGATATATAGAAATAGAGAACCAGGGAAGCCAAGCGTGTGAGTCAGTTTAAGTTCAAAAACCTAAGACATTGTTGGGGAGCAATGTGTAAGTCCTGAAGTCTGAAGGCAGAAAAACCTGGAGTTCTGATGTCTAAGATCAAGAGAAGGGTGTCCCAGCTCAGAAGAGAGAGAGAAAATTCACCTTTCCTCTGCCCGTTTGCCCTATTTGGGCCCTTAGCTGATTGAATGGTACCATTCACCCTGAGATTTTCCTTACTCAGTCTACTGATTCAAAT